GGGGTGGGTGCTAGCGATGCCCTCCGGTTGTTCACGTGCTGCTGGGAGATGCTGGAGAGAGCCGTGGCCTGATGAGGAGCTTTATAAAGAAGCGTCTGTACTAGTCCTACAGCCTTCGAGGGTTGTAAAGTAAATAGCTTGTTCACGCACGCTGTTTGTTGAAGAATTACGAGTCTTTGTACCTCAGACAGAGGAATTTATTTGTTACGGCGAGCTTGGGCAGTGCTCAGGCAGATGAACGGCTGGCTCTACGTACTGCTATCCTCTACGTACCGATGCTCTATAGGACATGTCACGCTCTTGTCGCGAACGCGGTTAGCTTTTCATGGGCTCCACGAGCCTGGAAGCCTGGCCAGAAGCGGGGTCCTTGGGGGGAAGTGGTGGAGCTGCTGGGTAAAAACCCCTTGTGCAGAAGAAGACTCAGCTGAGCATCTTCCACTGAGACCCTGGGAGGAAGCACGGGCGCTTGCTCCCGGCTTTCGGCAGGTTTCCTTCAGAAACCAGAGCAGGTCACTGAAGTAGCACTGATGCATGAAAACTGAAACAAAGCCACGGCATTGCTTGTGAGCTAACATATCCCAAACTGTCCTTTCTTATTTGCTTGTGTGCACTCTTAGCTGGGAAGCGATCGATGGAGTCAGAAAAATGCTATTTCCCTGGAGAACGTCTCCTTAGAAAAGTCCCCCCTCCCTCTTATCTTTAAGTGTTAAAAGGACCCAGTACAGGCGTGGGGTTTTTTATTCTTTAATCACTGTTTTTTCATTGCTGTCTGTAATAGTCCCTTTGAAGCTTGGATCGAAATATCTGCTTCCTGGCTGAAATTTGTTTTCCTCCCTCACCTGGGCCGATTCAATTTTCAGAAGATACTGAATTGGGAGGCGCTGGGCACTCCCTCCAGTGAGGCCAGAGAAAACCTAACGCAGGTTAGAAATATGGGGAAGGGAACAACAAAATGAAACTCAGCCCGGAGGGGAAGAAATACCCATCTGGGGAAATAGGCTGAGATGGTGCTTGGTGAAGAGAAAGGAAGATGAGAAAATGTGCGAAGCCCGAGGGGATGAGGGACAGCAGCAGATAGGATGCTAGGTCTGCGCTGGCCCTACGACACGGGATAGGGGGGAGAAGTGGTGAATTTGGAGAGAGGTCCTCAAAAGGTGCCTGCTGGTGGTAGAGAGCGGGCAGTGAAGGCATCTCACGGTGATGCTGCCACTGTCACCCCATGGGGACCACCCGAGAAGCGCAGGGAGGCTGGGATGCGGCCCGTGGTGTCCCTTCTGCCATGCCAACCTTTGAGTCCTTCCCCGCGGCGTGGCGAGCCCCAGAAAATCACGGGAAGAGGTCCTTTGGGTGGGATCCCTGAGGGCAGACCCTCGCCCCTCTCCTGGGGCAGGCTCAGCACGGGGGACACACAATGATGCTGTCCTACCCCTGCACAGACCTGTCCCTACAGCCCCTGCGATATGGTTTGGCTTAGGAAGAAAACCGGCAGCAAAAAATGACAGGTGAGTTAGCGGCTAAGTCATACGAGGAGAGACTAAAGGAGGTAAATTTATATAGTCTGGAAGAGACCCTGGGCGACACGTTTGCAATCTATAAATAGCTTCAAGGTAAGAATATAAATGAAAGAAGCCCCTCCTCTCGACGGTGGTAGGACGGGGAGCGCTGGCTGGGAGCCAGGCTCAATGAAATAAGGCTGCTGAGACATTAGGAAGAGATCATGAAGAGCCAAAGCGGTGGAAGTGGTGGATGGGGCTGCTGGAGCATCCTCCGCATCTTCTCGGCTCCGTTTTATTCAGATTCTGTTTGTAAATAATTACTGGAAGGTTAATAGGTGAGTAAGACACGTTATGGGCTTGTTAAAAACATAAGTAACTTGCCTTCTGGCTGTCCACGAGCCCATCACGGGAAGCTTTACAAGAGGGTTATCAGCTGTCATTATTAAAAACCAATTTGACATTATAAAAGATCTATACTGCTTGTTCAGCCACATTGATTTAGCAGTGTTAAGCCTTGGAAAACTGGAGCAAGAACCTTGATCTCTGCTGAAGCACGAAAAATTGCTGTTTGTGACACATCTCCACGCTCGGGAAATCCGGTTTTGCGGAAGCGATCGGTTTTGAACAAATACATAAAGCACCATGCCACAGTTGTTTGTGTGTGTTTTCCCAAGCCACTGCAAAATCAAACAATTCTTGGAAACCTTGCCCTCCATTTTGCTTTCTTTGGCAACCTCCAGGAGGGACTCACCTGAAGTCTGCCCAGCTCGAGCCCACGTCCGGACACTTCTCCGTCCGGTTTCCAAGCCCTGGTGCCCTCCGTGTCTCTGCTGGGAGGAGGATCTGCAGGCAGGCTTGCAAGGACATGACCCAGGGAACTCAGAAGTGACTTTTATCCTCATCTTGAAACCTCCTTTTTGTCCTTTGCAGAGCAGGGAAGGTGGTTTTGTGTAAAGTAACAAGGAAAGTGCCAGGCACAAGAGAAGCGCTGGATTCCCCCACGGCTTTGGTGCCACACTCACCCCGTCCCATCGACTGCTGCAAGGAAAATGGCTTCATGTACCTAGTACCTCCCTTGAGCACCTGAGTAGCAGAACAAGACCCTTCAGAGGCCGAAAATCTGATTGTGGCTGGGACCCTCTACGGGGACAAAGCTGTAAAGGAGCTTAACAGAGCAGAAATACTCCTGTCAAAAAGCACAGGGTGTTTCCATGTTCACCAGCTGAAGTTTCCCTGTCCCTCTAGCTTTCTACCTTCCTTCCTACTTGCTTTCTTTCATCAAGTGTTGCTGAGGTGTGGCTTTTTGACTAGCAAACCAAACAGGAGGAAACGAGGACGTGTCTCTTCTCCACCCCACAACCCATGCAAAGCTTCAGGGATGAGATATCGGAGCTCTGGCAGATCTCCCCGGCTCTCTCCTGCTGCAGCCAGGGCCGGGGGGGGGGGAGCATCCCCAAGGGACAAGCTGCTGCCACAGCGCTGGCAGATGCTCTCTGCGATGGGCAGCGTCATTCCAGCGGCAGGGAGGCAGGAGGGCAAGGCGCAGATCCCATCAGGAGGCAGGGAAGCGTGATGCTGAGATCAGCCTTGCTGGCCGACCTCTTGCAAGCCCCTTGGCTTGGGTTGCAGTTCCCTCTGGCAGGAGAAAGGCATCGCCAAAGCATCACTGACCATTCAAACCTTTGGAGCAGCAGCTGGAAGGTGTCGCTTGTGCTGGTTTTTCCCTACGAGGAGCCTCCCTCATTAACACACGAAGCGCAGCCCTAGAAATAAAAGCGGCATCTCCTGATTAATTATTGAAGGGGGAGTCTGGGGAGGAAGGGAGGGTAGGGAAGCTGAAGTGGCCAGTCAGCATCTGTTAGAGGTGCAAAGATAAATGAAATGAGAGGGCAGATAAGCGCATACAAATCAGCTCACATCTGTACCGCTAATACATCTCTTTCAAAACGCTTGTGTCATCAGATGGTGGGTGAAGCCTTGCAGGTCAGCTGTCCTGATTCAGTTAGGTTAACATTAGCAGGCGCCGGGGGAATTTGCTCTAGCAGAGCACTGTCAGAGCATTTTCCAGCCTGCCGCGGACCGGCATTTCGCTCTCGCTCCAGCCCCATAGAGGCACTCGGGGAAGACATCTGTGCCTACAGACCCTCTGTATGAGTTCACTGTAGCTCCAGTTGTCTTTGGTTGCCTTTGGGGCAGCACGAGTCTGGCATTAAAGCAAGGGGAACCCATAGCAGAGCAGTGGGGACAAGCAGAGGAGAGCAGTAAAGGCAGGAGCGGGAGACCCATGGGAGGACCATGAGCAGATGCTGTTCACCTTGAAGGGGACAGCTTTCCTAAAACCACCCCACCGACGCCGCGTGGGAAGCAGCCTCCATGGCTCGTCTCTCCGGAGCCTGATGGGGCAAGTCCAGCTCCCAGTGCCTGCATCTTCCCCCAACCCAAACATCCAGCGCAACCAGAAGAGGGCAGCCCCAAGACAACAGGGGCAGAGATTCCTTAGGGAAATCCTCTTCCCTCTAATTTACCTGTCAGTTGTTTTGGGAGGTTTATTATGTTTTTTCCCCCCCGGCTGCTGCCTGCACTTTCTTTCCCTTTCCCCAAAGAGCGGCTGAAGTTTCACAGCATCTCCTGTCTTTCCCACCCACCCCGGAGTGGCAGGTTGCCAGATGGTGCCCCATTAGGTCACGTTCGCTCATTGTTTGGCAAACAGCAGCTTAATTCAAGTGCTGAGTTGACAGCTTGTTCTCCAAGACAATTTGCAAGTTGCAGTGTTGCAAATGCCAGCTTGGCTTTTCAGGGTAATGTTATTTCAGCTGCCTTAAAGGGATAAAGTTCTCTTTGATTGGGGGGGGGGGGGGGGGGGGGGGAAAAAGGGGGGAGAGGGG